ATGATTTTGAAGTTGACGTAAAGAAATTTAAGTTTTGCTAAATTGTTATTTTATTGCTTTGATCTGAAGGAATAATTAGGCCTTAATACAAACGGTGTCATGACTACATGCATTAAATCTAGAAGAGCACATTTACGTTTCTAAGTAGTTGTGCATTATTAGCACAATCAATTAGCTTTTCATTTGAAATCGATCATTTACTGACGAAAAAAGCATGACATGAATTGTTCATGTGATCTCAAGCAATTTGTATCAGCTTGTTTACGTCTCTTCTTTGTAAAATGTATAATAACACGAACCTTTCCATTATAGAAACAGTATAAGAATATTAAATTTTGTTTCATGGAAATTTATGTTTGTATGTAATACCATTAGTATAACTGATAATAAAAACAGTTTCCCAAAATTACATTTCATATCAAATATAATATATATAAATATATATTATTTCGATATACACAATGTAGTTTATAAACAGCCTAGTCAGTCTAGTTTTAAAATCGCCTACGCTTTCCTTCATATTGTAATAGATTTGTGATAAAGGATCTATTATATATTATTTTTTCCAGTTGTGTGAAATAGGTTTGAATAAATATGTTTTTATAGAAGATAATGACAATGTAACGACAGGTAAATATACTTACAACGGACACAGAGTGATGCCTATAGTTTACATGGCCATATGAACGAGCTGCGCAAAAGTGTAAAATACTTGTACATAATGATGTGCAATATTTTAATTGAAAAAAATCCAAATCTGCAAAATGGTTGTTAAGATGCGGTACAGAAATTTCAGTTTTGTTTAATTATCGATAATTTCTGTTTGCAGAAGTTTTAAGGCCCACTTTCATAAAGCTTCATGATTTAAGGCATTTAATCCAGAACATGCAATTTCCGTTATAAAGAAGCCATTTACTATTAGCACAATTAATTAATGCTTTCATTTAAAAATCGATTCGTTACTGACAACAAAATTAATAACAAATTGCATAACATATATGTTTCATGTGATCTCAAGCCGTTTGACTCCACTTATTTTCCTCTTTTCCTTGAGAAAAGTAATATAAAATGAATGATTCCAATGTCAACCCGGCATAAAAACGTGGATTTAACTCGTTGGTATTTTTTATGTGTTACTTGTAAATATTATTAATCTTAACTTTAAAAACAATAGAATCATTCAGATTTGTATATCCTCTTTAATATTTTTTTTTCACAATCTTACTTTTTTCCATAAACAAAATATAATAACTGGACTTATGATTTATTAACATTGTAACGTCAAAGGTAGTCTCGTATAAAATTATCGCGAAAATATGTGTAAAGAAACATAACGGTACATGTTGAACAGTCAATATGTATTTTGATGTAGAAAGATATTTTTTAGGCCTATTTTGCAATTTAACCTTTCAAAATTTTGTTGGAATCCCTACACAACTTATCCAATTTAATAAGTTCAATTGAATAAAATGACAGTTTATTTTAAATCAATAGTATTATTTTCCACTTTCACATTAATAAATTGTCTTACGTTTGTTTGAAATTATTTCTAATATCCTAAGAAATTTGAATAGCTTAAATGAAACAAAAAAAAATTGCACAAATTATTGAAAATAAAACGATATAGAAAAAAAATGTCAAAATCTTATTAAGTACATTTTATCGGCAATGTATGGAACGTCTCAAAACAAAATTATGAATGTGTGAGAATAGACTGATATCTAAGGGAGACATTATGAGAAAAATGAAAAAATCTGGTTATAATAGACCGTAAAGAAATAACAAAACACGATTGTACGGTCACGCAAAGACAATGTGTTCTACTACTTCCTCGTGTATTCACATAGGAACAGGTCTGACGCTGAGCAGCTAATGAAACGAAAATATGATTTGCTAGGGTGGACAGGAGGATTTTTCAAATGAATATCCTGGCCTGGTAAGAGCTGAAAATAAATAACCTTACATTAGACAGGATGAATATTCTGCAACACAAAATAAAGGAATCAATCGTGTACAAAAGTGCAAATAAAAATAAGCATGCGTAGCAACAGAAGAGATTAAAATGAGTAGTCAATCCGAAATTATCCTCCTACTTTCCCCCAGAATATCAAATGGTGATCCCCTAGTAAGATGTGTTGAAAGTACATAAATTAACTAATTATTGGACTTATCAGATAATGTATATATTATTGCCACTGGCTCAAGATAACATCAGAAACATTTTAGCTGTTTTGTTTTCCTTAACGGTAAACGGGAGATAAACTGAATTTAAAACATAACAATGCATGCAGTTCTCTTCAGGAAAATACAAATGTGATTTCTTAACTATATTATCTATGTTAAACGTTTCCAATTTTTCACCATAATTAACTGACCAATTTTTACTAAATTCGATATACTTATATACCTTTATGGAGTTATTTCCTTTCAGAAAGACAGGTCATTCTTTTGACGAAACAACCTGGACGATACCAAGTTTCAATGAAATGTGCTTCAAGGGATAAAATAATGGCATGCGTCAGGTCATTATTTTCCTTGATTTAAATGCAAACTACAGATTACTTAAAATATAATAGTTCACCCTGATTCTCAACTTTGAAGAAAAAAATGTATTGCCAGACAAAAGAGAGAAAACAATTATTCTGAAGAGTTTGTTAGAAATTGTTGAAAAAATAATCTGCTTTTCCGCGATAAAAATGGCATGAAACTAGAGGAAAAAAACACAGCACCCCTTTTATATATATTATATGATAAATTACTTACAAAGCGACTTGTATTTTTCGTACATCTTATCAATTCAGTTGCTTCTTGCTTCATGTAATTTCTATACCATTTATATTGTAACTGGACAGTGATTTCTAACGTGTATACATGTATCTGGATTAATTAGTGAGTTTTATTTCACATTAGAAAAGAATACCCCACTTCAATGTGATCGGTAAACTAGATACTACTCCTTGAAATCTTTGCAGACTATAATATTTTTTGACGGTATATAAGTCAGATACTGCATATTTTAAGGTGTTTCTTGTTGAATATCACACCTCGTGGTGTCAGGATTGCCCAAATATTTTTTTTATCAATCCTGACACCCCTCTGTGTGTTATACGACAGGAAACACCTTAAAATATGCATTATCCATGACATAATTAACACGCACAGAATCAACAATGTGTATAAATATTAGAATGTCTTCAAAAACTGGTATTTTGCGATTTTGTTATCCCTTCAAAAATTCTAATTTTAAAGACCTTAATCTATTTGCAAAAAAATTCCAACAATTCAATTAAAATAAAGAAGTTAAAAAAGATATATAAAATAAACCAGTGGGGCAATTGAAAACTACGAGCAAAGAAATTAAAGCATACAACACCATGTTATACTTTAGAATTGTGCTGAACGATTGGAACAAGAACATATCAATAATATCAATAATGAATGTAAAAATTTCGTACGGAGCGCAGTCAGTTGAACCAATTAGGTAGCAATGGTACAATATAGCTTGAGGTCTTTTCGACTTATAAATTTTGATATTCATTTTGTCTGCATAATGTGCACCGTCTTAATTGACTTGTGATGTATTATTGAATGTCCTGCATGTTAAAATACCCTTGCAAAAACACTAGCCAGGGAAGTACAATGTACAGTTTTTTTGCAAATACTAACACACAGTAACATCCAGTATCATAGGAAACGACAGGAAACTTTATGGAATATGTTTTAGGAAGCTGATAAAAAATAAGCGTGTTGTTGACGTTCTATAATGTAGATTATGTCAACTCATTAAATGACTCAAACTATGGTCAGTGTTTACTGTTTCAAAGGTTCATTTATAACAAGGGTTAGATGATTTTTTTTTTAAATTTGGAAAACTGTTATGATAACGAAGTATAAGTGTCGTGTCACAGATGACCAAGAATGCTTGATTTGTCGCAACCTCAATCCATTTCAGATTAGGTATAATTTAAAGTTTGTGAAAATAAAGTCACTAGCGCTCTCGGGCCCTTTGGCTCTCTTCAGGCGACGATTTTACAATGTCAACTGACGGAATCAAATGACGTATTTGGTGTACTTAAACTGGTTCCTTTAAATGGTATGAATTTATGAAACTGTCGTGTCCTGTAAGGATTAAAGACTGTGGGTGTTAAACTTATACAGTTTATTGTGTAACTATCCCTTTGCTTTTTGTGTCGTTTTTGCTGTGCATATACTGATTATGTGTCAAGGATGGATACCCCATATCCTCTGTTTTTCTATTATATCTGTTTATCTGTTTTGTATTGATTTTGTTCATTGTTGAATGCCGTGCAGTGACGTATAGTTGCTAACACCCTGCATCATTTGTTCTCTGTCATACCACATCTTCTTTTTTTTAAATACATGTATAAGGTATGAAAACCCATTAACTATGCATTAGTTCTGCAAGGTGGATTGACTAAAAATGAAAGACGGAAATCTGAATGCCACTGTACAAGGATATTTGACAATCACCCAATCATTTCAATTATCTTTGTTTGTGTTCCTTGTTCTTTTCGTATTTCAATTGAAAAAAGGAAATACTTGCAAAATCACAAAAAAAGACAAACAATAAAGAACAACAGATGGTCCAGATAGCCTGACTTAGAACAAGCAGATGATGTGTTGAAGGGTCCTCGTGCGTGCAAATTGCCCCCTTTTACCTATCAATACTAAAAAAAAACAGAATAAATATTTTCTTAGTGCGACTACCCAACAGGATGTCACTAGTTTGAACAAGGGAATAAAAAACGGCACATAATCTAAAAAGCACGGTAAAAACTTGCTCGCTACTACAGGAAGCTAACTAAGGTTGATTAAGATGTTGGTTATATACTGCCACTCAAGAAAAACAAATAATAAGAAACACAAATCTTTCAGGTTTTCATGAAGCATCACTAATACATTTGTATTTGACAGAGGCCGGTTATTAATAGCCATAACCGCGGTATGTACACTGGCTTCAATAAACAAAAGTTGTTAAATGCAAAATGTATGAGTTTATTCCTTAAAAACATCAACGAAAAAAAAAAATCACAAGTCATGTAACTCTCTTTTTGAGTTTATATTTCAGTAAATTTAAAAATTTGTATTAGTTTTTCTTTGACAATAATTCAATGCATCCTTTATTTTGTTTTCTTTTACTGTGTTGTTTCCATACAAAGGAATGGAAACATATGTTAACCCTAATAAATAACTCAAACGCATGTAACATACATTTGCCTCCATTGGTGAAAACTCTATAACACATGCTCCTTTAGGTGATGCAATCAGATTTACCATGCCTCCACCATGTGGACCAATCACAATCGAAGCATTTGCAAAACGTTGTAACTGATCATGTAAAGATGGTAAAAAATTATCATCATGGAGAAAAAAGTTTATGTTTGCTTCTTTTGCAAATTTTTCAACGAATCTTTGAATTTTAGCGAAATGTGGCATGACACGACTTTTATTTCTTTTAATTAATAAAATAGTGTTTCTTTTGAATGGAACACTAATATTTATTTTTGTATACAGCCATTGGATGTGATCCTGAGAGGGACTACCACATTTCCCGATTTCAGGAACAATTAAATAATCAGCTAATATTGTACCATGTATTACACGTTTTTCATTTATCCCAACTAATTTTAACCATTGCAGCACCAATTTATTTTTCTGAGTCACATGTATAAAACTGCTCCATTTTTCTGTCTCAGTAATATATGCTAATCCAACTAGAGCTTCCATAGGAAAATGCCATGCTCCTTCACCCCAGAATACTGCAATAGACACAACGCGTTTATATCTCGTCACTGTCGCATTGTGCATCAGTAATTTGTTTTCAGACAAACATCCCCCATTTCTAACGGCAAGCTGTTTTGTTTTATGTATAATCCATCCATTAGAGAACACAATTACATCATAAAACGTTGCTTTTCTTCCGCTATATATTTCATTTTCACTTAGTCCATTCCAACGTCTCAGTCGATTCAGATCATTGCGCTCGATAATTTCACCAAGTACCTGATAACCTTTTCTCTGATTTTTATAAAGACTTTGTGTATTCTCAGGGTCAAGTTTCAAAGTGCCTAGTGAGTGATTTTTATGTGAAATAGATAGATGATATGTTATATTAAACCAACTTTGAATATATTTCTCCCAAATAAAAGGAGCATTTTTAACCTCAAATTCACAATCAACATACAGCCAGCCAGAAGACGATTCTACTAAAGACAAAAACACAGAGTTCAGTCCTTTTTGGGCAATGTTATAATTGCTTATTTTGTCAGGTTTACGGATATTAGTTCCGATCGATTGATGAAAAAAGATTTCAAATGAAATGATTAACGCTGATAATGTGATACATAAGATTATCTTTCTTCCTAAAAACAATGATTTACTTCTGTTCATAATTGCCACACATCGTTCCTTCATTTGACACATTCGTTAACAACAACCTACATGTATGGCACCTTGTGTAAGATTGTTTGAATCATTGCAACAATTAAAAGTTAAAAGTACTTTTAAATACATAAATGTAAATATACTCTGCAGTTTGCTATTTCTAAACTGACTGATATTTCAGGAATGACTTTTTTGACTGTCCACTGTTCAGCACCCTGAAAAGTAGATAAATTGCAATTTAATGTTTGACGTAAATGTTGCTAATAAATACTTGAAGAGGAAGAAAAAAGAATTAAAATCTTTGAAACGATTCTGAATTCGAGTAATGTTTCTATTGGCTTAAATTGTATGTTTGTATGTTCTAGATTTAAAGTTAAAAGCCGAGGTGCAGGAATATTCGCTGTCCCGTTTGAAGTAGTTTAACTATATTACTTTTTCAACTGCACAGCCATGCTAATTAGTTCCTTTATTTGTATAGTATACCCATACGATCTTCTGGTATCCTGCCTCTATGTTGCGCAAACGGTAATGTAAAAAATACGTTTTAAATAGTTTCATGTTAAGGTTCCCTCTGCTGCTTGCTCTGAAACCATGTCGATTGCTTTAACATCATAGAAAACTGTTTGGAATTAAAAAAAAAAAAAACTATACATAAAAGGGTCAATCTTACACTGCAGGATAAAAATAATTAAAATACATTTTTGTAAAATAGTATATGTATTATTCCCTCCTGTGCAACAGGAGAATTTAAGGCGGGTATGACCTATCTTCCTGTTTCTTGAACTCATAAAAATAAAAATGTTGTATTTTCCTACAATTTTCACATTTTATGTAAACAACTGATATTGTAAATTTTAAAACGCTGGTCTACATGAACATGATGTAGTCTTGCTTTACTGATGGACCTCTTCCCATACCTTCCGTTATTGACGATATATTTAAAATGATTTAGTAGCGGTATGTTTATTGAATTATAATTTATGATTCGTACATAATAATTACCTTTTGTTGGTGTACATGTTATCATACCATTGTAGAATATATTAACGGGCAATTATTCCTATATATACAAATATATAAATTTTTCCAGGTTACAAAAGTCCTAAAATAAACTGTTGTGCTTAAAGAAAAGATAACCTCAAAAGTGCAAAATCTTTTGATATCTCGTTTGTTTACACACACTTCATGTCTTTACAAAATAATCCAACATGTGTACGATTGTAGAGTTATCTAGGCTGATCTGAATTTAAATTAAAACGTCTTCCATAATCTGGATTTTAAATAGTGTTCGGTTCATATACGATCAATTTAGATATATCTAGTTAATATTTGTATTTCTTTGTTTCTTTAATTAAATAGACGAACTACTTCGATACAAAAGACAAATAACGTATTCATAGGAAAGAAGTGTTTAATTCATTAATATAATTTTATAATAATTCACAGTAAGTGTAATGTAAATGAAACATGACTGTGTATTCCTGCAATGTAAGTTCGCAGACAAATCTTTAAGACTGACAATAATTATCGAATATATTCACCAAATTTTGTTTCTCTGCAATACCTAAGTAAACGCCTTATAGAAGGTTAAAAAGACTACGAATTAAGGCTACAGTAATTTACCGATGTTACAAATTCGTAAATTGCTTAAGGGCATACGATACAGTAGCAGGGGCAGATAATAACGTTTTCAAAACTTTTCGTGTTGTTTTCGCGACGTTTTTAATCAGAAAGTTGTAATTTCGCGATGTTTCTAATAAGAACGATTACATTTCGCGACGTCGCTTTAGATGTAGTCATATTTGCGGAAATCCACTGACGTCATAATCCCGATTGCGCGAATTTGAAAAAAATACCTGCAATGAAAATCGGCCAATTCACGAGAATTGTTATATTTATTCATTAATTATGTTATTTCATATGGGAAATGAATAAGAGATATGAAAAACATAAGACGTCGATGAGAGAGAGACCCAACTACACAAAAAAAAAACATAAGTAATTAATATAGTAACTTCATCATTTGGATAACTCTAAATCGTAATGAGAATTGTACGGATAAATTTAACAGAGACTATCAACAAAATGACAAAAAAACGTAATAAATAATGACAGCGCATCTTACTGTTCCTGACTTTAAAAAGGTACATTAAAGAGTTTAACGGCATTTTTAGAATTTAACCCGTGGAATATATAAGTGTACGAAGAAGAATTGTCAGTTAAAATTACTCAGTTATAAGCCCCGTATTATAGACCAAAAACAAAAACGCACCCGTTGATGTGCTAAGCATATCCCCTATTTACATATTTAGAGAGAAAAATCGGCACACAGGAATTAGGTATTTGACAGACCAGAGTTGCAACTCATTGATGTTAAGTTACTGACCAAATACGAAGTCTTTTTGTAAAGTAGTTTCTCAGATAAGAAACAAAATATTTGTTGGACCGGACAAACAATGTGGTTGCACTCACTCCTAGATTGAAGGTATAATACAGACAAGTAATTCAATGATTATATGTACCGTAATAAAAAAAAATACTCTGAAGACAAGCTTAGGTAACTTATCTATTGATACAGAATCATTAAATCTCATGCTCTAATATCGACTGCTGTATGAAATGATATACTACACTGTAATTGACTAAACTGACCCGATTTAATGTGGGTATGATTTTGTGTTCATAAAGGTTTGGCAAATATGATGCTATTTTACGAGGAGCCAGCTTTATTAATTTTCATGATTAATATCATTGGTTTAAAAAAAAACACCTTGGCTCTACCACTGAAATTGACAACGTAGTATAGTGAACGGCGGGAAAGATTTCACGACGTTGTTGCGAATAAAACGTCCCATTTTCCAATAAAAATTAGGGTTTTTGCTTTTATTGAGACCGGTTGTGTCGACAGGTTCAACATTTCCCCTGGAAATCATGCCAAAATATGTATTTGAATGGCAATGCTGCTTATTCGAGTGTGCATACAGGAAATTTGTAGTTTATTAATTTGACAAGTTAAAAGGAAGTACATACATCCATCCACATTGAAGAAAAAATTATCATAGATGTCGCCCTTTCATTGCAATTAAACTGTTTACGATGTCAAATCCTGATTTTCTTACGCTTTTTGACATTTCTTAATCTTCAATTGAAATACATGTATGTTTTTTTACAGAAACAGAAGGCTTTGTAAGGCAACTATAGCTTGTGATTTCTAAAAGGTGACACGCTAAAAAGGTAGAACATGCTACACAGAGGAATAAGTGATCAGTATGCCGGAGTTTCTTATTGACAACATATTTGTTGAATTTGGAGGTAGACTCTTTCAACAATCTGTCGACATTCCTATGGAAACGAACTGTGCGCCTCTCCTTGCCGACCTCTTCTTTTTTTCATACGAGTTTAAGTCCTCCAGACACTTGTCAAAAACAAGAAGATCAAAGACGCCAGATCATTTAATGTTACATTAAAATATATTGATTTTGTTCTTTTCATTAATAATCATTTTGATTGGGTTCCATTAAAATATCCTCCGGAACTAGAAATTAAAGAAACAACAGACAAGGCTTCCTCCGGCTCATTTTTAGACTTATACCTCGATTTTGACATAAGCGGTCATCTCAGTGTCAGAATCTATGACAAACGAGACGATTTTAAGTTTGAAATTATAAATTTTCCCCACCTTAGCAGCAATATACTAACTTCATCTGCATATGGGAAATACATTTCCCAACTCATTCGGTATTCAGGAGCTTGCAGCTGCTACTCATACTTTATAAAACGTCACCAGTGTCTGAGCAGATAAACATTCCGTATCAACTTCATAAATAAAACACTATGGTCTTGAAGAATAGATTCTAGATACTGACGTTGTTTATCTTTTTAATTACGTGTTATAGTGTTCTTTTTATTTGTCTTCTATAATTTTAACCTTTACTGTTTAGTCCATTTTTGGTAATATGCTTTTGGTGTTGCTCGGTTTTTATTCTTCCCGGCATTGTATTATTGTTCTATGGTCATTTGTCTTTTCTGGTCTTTCATTTTGGTTTATGTACTTTTTCTATTGAGTGTCTATATGCCATTTTGTTTTTCTTTGTTGAAATACTTATTTCTTTTTGTAGTAATTAAGATTATAACACAATGTTGACTGCTGTACCTCAATTTTTGACATTTTCACCTATTATGTCTGTTTGTTTGCTCACACATTGCTGTAAATATAATGGTATTATATGCAACTGTCATACAAGTGAGAGGATTAGCTCGCTATAAAACCAGGTTTAATCCACCATTTTCTACATAAGGAAGTGCCTGTACCAAGTTAGGAATATGACAGTTGTTTTCCATTCGTTTTTGAGCTTTTGATTTTGGCATTTGATAAATGATTCTTAGTGTTGAATTTTCCTTGGAGTTCGGTATTTTTGTTATTTTACTTCTTTATAACTATCGTTACACACGTTATAAGTGCAAGATTTACACATACTTTAGCAATAGATATTGATGTGAAAATGTGGAGACGCTACCCTCAACTATATCCCTATGAACATTCACAACTCAAACTTTTGTTTATCTTGGTACAAAGAAAAGGCAATTTTATTGTTAGGAAAAACATAAGGTTCGAATTCAAAACTGTTAAATGAGTCAGATAGTACATGTAGGTTGGATTATCATGCCAATCATTGTGTTCATTTGAAGTCTTCTCCGTTACGGACGGAAAACCTGACTTTATTCCTTAGGAACATTCACATTATTTTTAAGTCTTTATAAAAAATAAAGAGATGTGGTACGATTCACAATGAGACAGCTATCCATCAGAGTTCAAACGACGAAGATAAACGATATTTCCTGATTTAATTTTTCAGCACTTTTCGAAACCCATTCAGGAAGAATGTTTGCAACGTAAAAAGGATCATCGATATCACGTATGGTGTCCATCTTATCTATTCAGTAACTTTCAAGGCAGACCGAGTTGTCTTTCCTTATGGGTATATCTCCCTGAATTTCGAAAACTTGCTATGTATTAAACACTAAAGCCATAAGAGAAAAATGAAATTCTCATGTTGGGAAAAGTCCCTTTGCTAATGGCAATACTTCAAAGCATTTGGTCGAAATCGATGGATCTTTATGAGGGATAACTTTGTGCACAAAAAAACAAAAACAAAAACCCCGACTCCCTCAAATTTCGACAACTGTTAGATTTAAATACCTAAGATTTTCAGTAATAGTCTTCTTGGCCCCAAACCTTGATAAAACATGTCAAGGTCTCTGGGACATTTCCAGCATATTATTGGATGAACATAACAACAGTTATGTAATAATGGGTTAGGTAAATAATAAATACAGTTTGTTATAGCATTCCAAACATCCTTATGTTTTGATTGAAAAGAAACAACCCCTCTAAAAGTTAGGAAATCCTAATCGAAGGTTCCAAATTATTGTAAAATTCTGACAAAATCAAACGCCTAACTGTATCAATCAATAAAACGACTGGAAAACAACTGTCATATTCATGACTTTTACATGCATTTTAAGATGAAAATGGTGAGGTACCTGGTGGAAAATATTGAGAAGATCAACCCAGAATTTTGCTATATTTAAATGAAAAATTGTAACCAAACACATAACGTTCAAGAAATATCTTGTGTTCCCATTATCTGGAAAATAAAATAAGAAGAAAACAATAAGGTCCTCATCAATGGACTGCTTTTCATGTGACGTCGATAAGGTCAAAACCAAAGGTCACATAGTAGATATGTTTTTGTAAACATTTTGGGAATAGGAATCAATACAGAAAAAGTAAGTGAGTAAAACAACTTTATTAATTGATGACGTAAAGGTAACGACTAAAAATCCAAATAGAAAGTTCACGAAATGTTACAGACGGCCATAAGGAAAAACAGGAAAAAAATCACATACCGGTACCATTAAAACCAAATAATCAACATGATATGAAACGTAGACGAAATGTAGAATCTGATTATAAAGATTAATGTGTGTGCATGTTCCAAACAATAATTAGTGTTAATACATTTAGTAAGTATGGTTTATTTTTAAATCGTGCAATAAATTCTCGACACAAAGAAAATTAACAATTCATTCAGTAGAGGAAACAGTTCTATGTAATATAAACTGCAACATAATATTATTGTAAACTGCAGTTGTTTAATAACATCCAAACCCCGTCTTAAAAAGAA